CCCATCCGTTTGCTCAAGTCCCAGCAAAGGGTCTCCGTGGGATTCTGCCTGGAATTTCATGAAACCTGGAAGTGACTCTGGGGGAAGCGGGTACCTTCCCACGATCCACCTTTCTCAGCCGCGAAGCATGGCACCTTTCTGTCTATCCAGCCCGTTTGCGGACGTTTGCATTTTGTCTCGTAGAGGCCCCCAGCCCCCCAGTCCTCACCCGGCCAGCGGCAGGTGCCCAGGCCTGCCCCGAGCCAGGAAGGGCGAGTTTCCGAGTCTCCGAGCTTCTCCCTCGGCCTTGTGCCCGCCCCTCCTTGCCGGCAGGGCGTCTTGCTTTGGTTCGGGTCCGTGTTTCCTGGACTCTCTGCACGTTGTGCCTTCTCTCTGCATGTCATCGTGACCTGCTCTGTGTTGATCCGGGAACCCCTGCTGGTGTGGTCCGGGCCAAACAGAAGTTCTGTGTTCATATGGTGTCCCAGCGCCAGGGCCGATAGACACGAACTGCGAGTAGACCGAGAGCGCTGACATTCGTGCTTGAACCCTTGAGCGCTCCCTCCTCAGACTCGCACGCCGGGGCCCAGCTCGCAGAGTCGAGTGAGCGCAGGAAGTGGGGGCTGGTTCCCCTTCCTGAGGGCGCGGCGGGGGCACCTGCCCGCCGCGGCTCCCCGGCAGACGGTGAGCCTGCTGCTATCAATAGATGACACCTGTGGGGTTTTACGGAGAGAAAATTTTGCACTTTTTTTGCCAGTCTTTCAGATGAAGTGCAGTCAAGGTTGCGGCGGAAACGCCGGCGGTGGGAGGAGGGGGAGGAGCTCTGCACCCCGACATTTCTGTCTGTCTCTGTGGCCACTTGTGCTGGCCTTGCCCCACAGGAACAGCTGTGTTTAAATTCTGCCCCGCTCTTTTTTTTTTGAGACAGAGTCTCACTCTATTGTCTGGGCTAGAGTGCCGTGGCCTCAGCCTAGCTCACAGCAACCTCAGACTCCTGGGCTCAAGCAATCCTCCTGCCTCAGCCTCCTGAGTAGCTGGGACTACAGGCATGTGCCACCATGCCCAGCTGATTTTTTATTTTCTATATATTTTTAGTTGGCCAATTGATTTATTTCCATTTCTTTTAGTAGAGACGAGCTCTCGTTCTTGCTCAGGCTGGTTTTGAACTCCTGACCTTGAGCAACCCTCCTGCCTCGGCCTCCCAGAGTGCTAGGATTACAGGCGTGAGCCACCGTGCCCAGCCTCTCCCCGGGTCTTAAAAGGACGTGGCTGCGGTCTGTGGGGTTGCACGGACAGCGCCCGTGTCAGTCTGCCGGGGCGGCCGTAACACAGTCTACACTCTGGGCGGCTTCAAAAGCCGACGCTGACTCTGTCCCGGTCCTGGAGTCTGGAAGCCCGAGGTCAGGGTGCAGCAGGGCTGGTGTTTCCCGGGCCTCTCTCCTGGGCGTGCAGACGGCGTGTGCTCCCTGTGTCCGCACAGGGCGTCCCTCCGTGCGTGTCTGTGTCCTCAGCGCCTTTTCGTACAAGCACACGGGTCCCGTCGGATCAGGACCCACGCCGATGACCTCGTTTGAACTTAATCACCTCTCTAAAGGTCCTCTCTCCAAATAAGGTCAGGTTCTGAGGTTCTGGGGGTCAGAGCCTCAACATATGAATTTTGGGGGACACAGCCCGTAGCACTCACTGCCTTTATTATATGTGAGCTACTGGCCCCCAACATGCTCTGAGGTTTACGGAAAGTCACTTGCCGTGTTCGCCTTCTGTGCTGGGAGTGTCCTCACCGCGGCTGGCAGGCGGCTCGTGTCCTCTTGGGCGCTCACACGCACGGCCCTGCTGCTCCGTGTCCCACAGTCACCTCTATCCGGTCTCCCGTGTGCAGGGCAGGGAACGGCTGTGGTTCCCGGCTATGCCCACCGCCACCACCAGCGCCCTCCGGACCGTCTCTGATCCCCTCCAAAGTCATGGACGGAGCTCCACTGTGATTTGGGACTTGACTCACCAAGTCCAGAGTCCCAGAGCCATCAGCATGGAGGCTGGAGCGGTTAGACTGCTGGCGGGTGATGACGTGTGAACCGCCAGGTGAGAAGCATCTGAGCTGCAGACTCTCACCTGGAAATGCGCCCAGGGGAGTCCTTGCTGGTGCATCTGTGGGTGTTCCCAGCCTGTCCCGGGCCTGTCCCAGGTACCGAGACCCCAGCAGGCCTTGCTGCTCACCTTGCACCTGCTGCGGCCGGTGGGAGGCATTTAGCAAACATCCGAGCAACCGCCATCTGTCCACGGGCAGCCAGCTCCGGACGGCGCCATCTGACTGTGCTCCCCACTACTTAGCACGTTCGTGATGTGTCTGGATGTTCAAGGACCATTTTCCGATCCAAAAAACTTTGTGTTTAATGAGGACTTTCGACAGTCGCAAAAGATTTGCAGCACAGCTGAGTCTGACGGTGCCCACCGTGTGCCGTTCTGGCCCAGACAGGTGTCGCAGCTTGTCAGCGGGTGCTTCCAAAGCAGGGCTCCTCAGCCACCCCATGGCACCTAGTCCAGTGCGTATGTTCTTTCCTTTCATTGCAGTTTTTGTTACTGTTTATTAATTCCTAAGATAAACTTGTCTCTGGAAAGAGTAGTCCCAGAAATGTCAGGCACGAAAGCTGGGATGGTCACGTCGGTGACAGGTGCCTGACAGACTCATTGCCAAGTGAAAATATCACAGCCACACACTCATATTTTGCAGAGTGTCCTGCATAGTTCTAGAAACATCCCAGCTTGCTGACTGCCTGGCGCTTCCTCTGTGACAATGAAAGTCTCCTGTCGTGGGCAGGGTGAAGGACACACTAAGGACACGGGCCATAGGGGAGCCCCGGCCAATTACAGTGTAACCAGCCTCTCCTCTCTATCCCTTAAGCCTTTTTTTGGGCCGAGTGGGTTCCAAAGGGACACGAGTGCCTCCTTCTCTTTGTGGCGTCACCTACTTCGCTGCTCCTGGCTCGTGTGTTCCCAGATCCCACGCAGGACGGTTGTGCCATCTCTACAGTCCCTGGTGGCACCAACATCCTGTGACTTTGATGTGACCACTGTACCCACGGACATGTCTGAACCAGCACACTCTGCTCATCCTGAGCAGTCTGCATGCATCTGGGCGGCTGTCGCTGTCTGTTGGCGGTGCACCCCTTTCCCCGTTGGGTGTGGGGAGCCCAGAGCACCAGGGTGTGTTGCATGAATCTCAGCCTTGGTTTTCTCTGACTTCTCTACCTTAATTCTCCCTTGTGACCCAAGTTTCCTATATTCCTTTTTTTAAAATTTAAAATGCATTCATTTATATTTTGAATAAGTAATATGTGTATGTAGTTCATAAATGTTAAAATTAGGAAGAGCCTCCCTCCCATGTTCTGTTCTCCTGGCTCCTAGGCACACCCCACTGCTGGAAGTTTCTAGACATTCTCCCTTCCAGGGAACTTTTAGGCACATACATGTCTGTAAGTACATATCATGCGTGTATATTTACAGACAAATACATGTTCCTTCCCCCTTTCCCCACAAGGACTATCATACTGTAAACATTATTCTGCTACTTATTTTTGTCATTTATCAGTATAGCTTGTGTATTTTCTTTATATCAGTACATAAAGTACTTCCTCATGGTTATTTTAAAGCTGCAAGTATTTTATTGTATGGATGTATCATTTATTTCACTGACTGATTTTTTAATATAATAACCCCTTCTATAGGCAGCTTAGTTAACAGCTGAAAGCCTGAGCTTGGGATTAGGATCCTGTTTGAATCCTGCTTTCTCCACTCACTCGCTGTGTGATTGTGGGCACGTTACTTGCTCTCTCTGTGCCTCACTTTCATCTAGCACAATAATAGTGCCTACCTCGGCTGGGCGCGGGAACCACATTACCTGACTTCAAATTGTACTACAGAGCCGTAGCGACCAAAACAGCACAGTACTGGCATAAAAACAGCACATAGACCAATGGAACAGAAATAAATCCACACATCTGTAGTGAACTCATCTTCGACAAAGATGCCAAGAACATACAGTGGGGAAAGGACAGTCTATTCGATAAATGGTGCTGGGAAAATTGGATATCCATCCACATGCAGAAGAATGAAACTAGACCCTTATCTCTTACCATATACAAGAATCAAACCACAATGGATTAAAGACTTCAATCTAAGACCTGAAACTATGAAACTACTAAATGAAAACATTGGAGAAACGCTTCAGGACATTGGTCTAGGCAATGATTTCTTGAGCGATACCCTCAAAGCACAGGCAACCAAAGCAAAACTGGACAAATGGACCACATCAAGCTAAAAAGCTTCTGCACAGCAAAGGAAACTATCAGCTAAGTGAAGAGACAACCCACAGAATGGGAGAATATACTTGCAAACTGCCCATCTGACAAGGGATTCAAAACTAGAATATATAAGGAACTCCAACAACTTGATAGAAAAAAAATCAAATTATCCAATTAAAAAATGGGCAAACGACCTGAATAGACATTTCTCAAAAGAGGACATACGAATGACCAGCAGGTGCATGAAAAAATGCTCAACATCATCATTCATCAGAGAAATGCAAATCAAAATGACAGTAAGACAATAAGTGCATTTGTTGTTTTATCAGTTATTTTGCGTTAATTTGTTATACAGCAATAGAAAACTAAAACTGCACCTTAGGACTTTGCAGTTTATACAGTAAACAGAAGAATAAACAAACTCACGCTTAGGGCCTCTCAGTATAATGTAGCATGTTCATTATAAGGGAGTGGTATTTTGCGATAATTCGGGGATTGCTATCTCAGAAAAGCAACTCAGAGTAATTCATGTTTCCTGAATACTATCAGCAGAAAACCATGAATCGAGCAAGATGCTTACTACACACATGCAGGGGTAATTTTGCCTCCGTAGAGAGTGCGATTTTACCAGTGCGGCAGGGGTCTGGGAGCACACGGACACTGGGACCACGTGAGGGAGGGAGGGAGGGAGGGACGCGGGGCTGCAGGTGGGGCAGGGCTCACCTGTGCTTCACCCAGGTGTCAGCCTCGCTGGCTCGGTCCGTGTAGTTCTCCGGCAGGAAGCCCCGGCGGCCCGTCCTCTGGGAGAGCCCGATCACCCAGCCCTCGCTGGCTTCCTCCTGCTGGGAGGGGTCCACGAAGACATAGTCGCCGGGACTCAGCGGCAGCTCGTCCGCGTTCTGGGGCTTGTACTGGAAGAGGGCCCTCAGGGTCTGGAAAAGAGGCGGGCGGCGTCAGGCCCTGGGCGAGGATTTGCACGGGAATCAGCAGCCACGGAGGCCCGATACTCGCCGCCTCCCGCTCGCTGGCTCCCGGGACGGGCGCTGCGCCCCCGAGACAGCCTCCCAGCCTCTGCTGGCGACACAGGGCACGGCGAGTCACGAAACACAGAACTCTTCGGGCGGGTTTAGAAATAAAATTTGCATCTGTTTGTCTGTCTGCCATCCTTCCACGTGCTCATTCTGTATGCGAGAGATCTCAAAGCGTAACCAGACACACGCACCCTCCCTGGCTGGCGTGCGGCCATCCCGGCTCCTCTAGCACGCAGGCGTGGCGGGCGCGTTCTCGCTCCCTGGGAGAAGCCGGGCTCGCTTTCCTCCACGCCCAGCGCCTCACGGGAAGGGGGTCCTCGAATGAGGCTTCACCCAAATCGTTGTTTAAAATGAATTAATAAGCACAGCACGTATTCATTTATCTTTACAGTAGTCCTTTTCCTACATCAGAAATGCTTCTGCTTTGTTTTGAAATTTCCGTGCATCTGCAGCTCGTACGAAAGAACGCCGGTTCCAAATTGCACGAGAAGGGAAACGGTTTGAGGGAAGGAAGAGAGGTTCTCATCCCTACTAGAACCCCCCCGAGGAGGCGTCCCGGGTCTGCCAGCTGTCAGGTGGTGGCCGTTCCGTCACACGGAGAGGGTCCCGTCCAGCCACACCCGGTCAGCCTCCCGGCCGGGTCTCACCTGGTAGTGCACGAAGCGCATGTCCCGGGAGTAGAGCGCCGCGGTCCACTGGCAGGCGTGGCCGGGGTGGATGGCGCGGGCCAGCTGCTCCAGCGTGCGCTGGTGGTGGGGGTAGAACTTGTGGGCCAGGGTCAGGTGCAGCTGCTTGGTGCAAGGCTTCACGGCACAGTCTGCGAGGGCAGGGAAGCGCAGGGGCACGGGGACACCTTTTACCTAAACGGTGCTGCACCCGGGCTGGGCTGCAGGGACACCTGCACATGCAATGCCCCTGCCTCTACCCACCCCTGCCTCTACTCACCCATCCCTCTACCCGCCCCTGCCTCTACTCGCCCCTGCCTCTACCCACCCATCCCTCTACCCACCCATCCCTCTACCCACCCATCCCTCTACCTGCCCCTGCCTCTACCCGCCCCTGCCTCTACCTGCCCCTGCCCCTACCCAGCCATCCCTCTACCTGCCTCTGCCTCTACCCGCCCCTGCCTTTACCCACCCATCCTTCTACCCACCCATTCCTCTACCCACCCATCCCTCTACCTGCCTATGCCTCTACCCACCCCTGCCTCTACCTGCCCCTGCCCCTACCCAGCCATCCCTCTACCTGCCTCTGCCTCTACCCACCCCTGCCTCTACCTGCCCCTGCCCCTACTCACCCATCCCTCTACATGCCTCTGCCTCTACCCACCCATCCCTCTACCCACCCATCCCTCTACCCACCCATCCCTCTACCTGCCCCTGCCTCTACCCGCCCCCTCCCCTGCGCTGCGGCACTGCCGAGTCCACATCATAAAGGAGGTGGCCGGACACCTGCAGACTTCTCCTGGGGACAGGAAAGAGGAGTCGTGGAGATGTGGGTGCAGGGTCTTTGAGACTCCCGGCTTGCAAGCGGGTTGCCCAAACACACGGTTAAAACGTGGAGAGTGAAAGTGCCTGCACTCCCTGGCGTGTGCACGTCACTTGGCTGCCTGGACTCCGGCCGGAGCTCCAGGTCAGTGGCTTTTTGTCCAGTTGCAGAGTCTCACTCAGGACGCAACGAAACTCTATGAAACGCGCAGTGTCTCTAACGCTTGCCTTATTTTGGTCAAGCAGGAAGCCCCGGGAGCGGCTGAGCCCCAGGTTTTGGGGGGTGACCTCTGCCCCCACAGCCCCATCTCAAGTCAGGAGCAGAGTGCCCGGCGTCACCGAAGCAGCCGGGATCTGACTTCAGCCGGCCACCGAGTGTCTCATGTTCTGGGGAGGTGGCCGGTGCCGTGGCGGGAACGGCACAGACTTTGGCATCAGGCAGACCTGGCTCTGTACCCCACTGGGCCCCTCAGCAGGGTGACCTTGGCCGTGCGTCCTGGCCTGACCTGGCTTTGGTTTCGACAGCTCTGCTTAAGGATGGCGGCAGCTGCCTACGGGGCTGCGGTGGGGACGGAGCCCCCAACCTGCGGCTTCCTGCTGAGACCGCGGCTCTCGGCCCAGTGCTCACCTGCCGCCTCTCCATGGTAGGCCTCCCGGGCGAGCAGGATCTGCCCTCCCCCAAGACGCGCCGGGGGCGACTCACGCTCTTCCTGGGGGCCTGCCTGCGATCCTCCCCGCCCCCTCGTCTCCCGCGCCAGGGCGAGACGGTAGCAGCCACCGTGAAGCTCTGTGGTCCCGGCGCCGTGGGCCTGGCACCTGAGCGCGGGAGGGCGTGGGTGGTGGGGAATTTCCTTTGCTGACATTTTTTGGCAGTGAGGGAGGATGGCCTTGCCACGTGGCCCGGGAAAGACCCGCTGCGGCTGTCACCTGAGCAGCTTCCGAATGAGTCACGCCCTCTGAATGGGCCCTGGTCTTTCCTCCTCTCTGCGGCCAGGCCCCGGGGTTTCGCTGGGCAGGGCCAGCGCGGGCAGGGCGCCCGTGCCCCGGCCCCGAGAGGGACCCGGGACCCTGCGCGGCCGTGCCCGGGCCTGCTAGCCACCCCACCAGGGTCCGGCCGAGGGCATGGGCCGCAGAAGGGCGGAGCGGAGCCTGCCCAGGGCTGGGACGTGGACGTGAGGTCAGAGCTGGCCCCCCTAGGACGTGGGACCCCCTGGTGTGAAACCCGGGCGGTGTGGAGCGAGACGGAACTGGGTCCAGGTGTGGGGGTCCTGGGGTTGCCGTAACAAACCCGCACACACTGGGTGGCTTGAAACAGCAGAGACGTGCCCTTGCCCAGTTCTGGATGCCAGAAGTCCAAGACCAAGGTGTCGGCTGGGCTCTGCTCTCCCCGGCTCCAGGGGATGCCCCTTCCTGCCACCTGCAGCTTGTGGTGACCCAGACGCCCGGTGGCTCATGGGGGTGCCACCCCAATCTCTACCCCTGCCTGCATGTGGCCTTCTCCTCTGTGTCTGTGTCTCTCCTCATCTTATGAGCACACCCGCCGTTGCATCTAGTCTAGAGCCTGCCCTAAGCCAGTGTGACCTCGTTTGAGCGAATCACATCTGCAAAGACCCCATTTCCAAGTGAGGCCACCCTCTGCGGTTCCTGGTGGGCATGCATTTTCAGGGCCACTGCTCAGCCCGGCACAGCGACCTTGGGCAGGCACTTCACCTTGGCAGCCTCAGTCTCCCCATGTTTAAAGTGAGACCCAGCTGGGGTGGCAGGAAGACTAAGCGACACACCCTGAGGCCAAGTGATTTGACACTCCCATCAGGACAAGAACCTTTCAGAGAAAGAAACACAAAAGTGCTGTCATTTGATAAAGGTGACCGGTCCACAGAGACCTGGTGACTTTATGACTATCCAGCAGATCCTATCCCCCGACCCCGGGCCAGCAGCCACGCCCGAAAATCCAAGCCAGGACTCTGGATCCATTTTTGGGCCGGGACCTGCACCTCCCACCTGTCTGAGGACGGGCGGGCAGATGCCCCCGCAGGGCGGGACAGGGGGCTCCCACCAGGCCCCCCGGCCCCTGCGGTTCTGAGCCTGCAGATCACGGCCACGCTGAGCCCTTCTGCGTGCCGAGAACCCCGGGCGTGGTCCCACGAAAACGGCAACCGGAACTGGAGCCCCGCCACTTCCCAGAGAAAGGAAACCGACTGAAATGACTGGTCCAGGTCCCGGCGCTGGTCGGGGAGGCAGGAAAACGTCCCCACCCTCCCCCAGCGCTGGTGTTTGGAGAAAAGGGAAATTTTGCAGATTCTCAAAGCGAGTCTAGAAAATCTTTGCCCTGAGAGGCCGAGGAGAGGAGACTGAGCTCACGCTGGGAAAGCTGAAGTCATTGCGTGGGCTGTGTTCCCCCTGGGTGGGGACGCCCCCCGGGTGCCCGCCGTGGGGTCGTGGCTCTGCCCACTCCTGCCTGGTGCTGGCGGCCCCCTCCCGCACAGTTTCCCAGGCCGCCGGCACAGCGCTGCGCGTGGTGAAAAACCACATTCATGCAAATGGGCTACTCCCGCTTCTAGAGAAGCCCACGGCGGTGCCGCGCCTTTCTACCCGCCTACGTTTCTGAGGGACGCAGCGGCTCGGCGAGGAGGCCTGGTTACATTGCTCAGCCTCAGGTTACGGCCGACATGCCCGGCTGCAGATCGAGAAGCGGGGAGTGCAGACGTGCGGGCTGGAGCAGGTGCAGCCCCTGTGCCCAGAGGGACGCCCGACCGGCTGTGGGAGCGACACTGCCAGACCCGGTCCCCTGGCATCCGAGCGGGGCGTGCAACCCGGACGCGGGGGCTCACACGCTGCTCACCGGGCCCTTGTTCCCAGCTGGCCGCGCCTGCCTACCTGCTAAGACGGAGGCTTCTGCGGCAAAGGTCACCGCGAATTCCCGGATGACGTCGGCGGGGCTGCCGCTGAGGAAGAAGCCGAGGTAGCTGATGGAGGAGTGGAGCACCAGCGGCACGGCCTGCGGGAAGGCGCCCAGGGCCCTGTCCCCGGCCCGCTTCAGGGCCTCGTACAGGCTCTCCACCTTCTGGTCTTCGCACTGCGGGGAGGGGCAGAGAGCGCGTGTCCCCTCTGGTTAGGGTGCAATTAATAAAGACCGCACAGCAGTCACGGTGGGACGCTTCTGTTCCAAACGCCCTCACAGTCTGTCACAGCGCGTGTCCGAGTTATGGGTTTGCTCATAGCGCAATATGCCAAGTGACATTCTTTCTGGAATGGACTGTCCTCTCAGTGCCCCGGCAGGAGATGCCCCGGTCACCCTGGCTGCGTCCCTCCCTCCATGTCCTGTTGGCGTGACCCTGCGTCTGCCCCGAGCCCGTCCTTCTCAGTGTTGAGGGCCACGGCTTTGCTCGGCATGGCGTGGTTTGGCTTCTAGGCATTTCCTGCGGTCTCCAAGGCAGCTGCAGGGGCTGTGGCTCAGAAGCCACGCTTTGGGCCAAGGCTGAGCGAGTGGGGACAGGGCTCACGGCTGTGTCTGGGCGTCTTGAGCCAGGGCAGCCCTGCAGCGAGCCTTTCCCTGCCCTCCTCCCCTTCCCCGCCAGCTCCCGCCTCCTTCTCTGCCCTTCTCGGGGTCTTCCCAGTGACCCTGTCCAGGCGGGATTCTGCCCCGGGGGCTGCTCCCTGCAGGGCCTGGCCCTCCTTCTGGACCCTCTTCCCCCCTTGCCACCCCACCCAACGACGCGGCAGGCGCTGCCTGTCACCCAGAGAGACTGGCGTCACCACTCAGCCTGAACGCCAGGTGCTGACAGGCATGGACCCACCCATGTGCCACCACGGCCCACCCATGTGCCACCACGGCCCGCAGCCGGCACGGCGCCTCCTGCTCTGGGCACAGAGCTGCACGCCGCCCTGGCTACTGGCCAACTCAGAGCACAGTGGAAACCCAGACAACTTGGAATTCCACGGTGCTTTATAAGTGTGGGTGTGCGTGCCCTCAGGGCTGGGGAAGGAGCTGGCAGGCCGGGTCTGCCCTCAGCGCCGAGCCTGAGCGTGCCTGGTGTCTGCGCTTGTTTCACCGCGGGCTTTGGCTGCCTTTTCTTTCCCTGTCGAGCTCCCAAGGGCAGGCCAGAAAGGAGTCTGATTGTCACAGGTGCCACTGATGGCAACGTAGGGTGACAACTCGCCGGGTTTGCTCAGGGCTCTCCCGGGCTTAGTCCCAGGGTGGAGGTGCTGCGGGCCCTGGCGGAGCCCCTGAAATGGGGGAGCGAGCCCACTCCCTGAGAGCAGAGCTCTGGCCGGGCCAGGGCTGTGAACTGGGTGTGCCCTCCAGGTGCCCTGTCGGCAGCCACGGGGGATGTGACTGTCTGCTCCCCCTCATTCTCATGCCCCCTTCTTATCTCTGGAACGACCCCTGCGAAGCTGCCCATCTGACCGTTCTCTAGCCGGAGGGCTCGTCCCTGAGACAGGGAGAAGTGCTGCATCTGGGACCGGCCACCCACGCCTCGGTGCACTCTCCACGCATCCGGGTGGCACCCACCCTGTTTTGGGCACCGTGCTGGTCTCCGGGTGCAAAGGGAGCGAAGCACCGCGTCCCTCTAGGACGCACTCTGGCGAGAGGCGCAGACCTGCACCAGACACGGCGCCCACGCGGCGTGAACGTGCCGCTAGAGACGTGCACCGAACCCGGGCAGCAGCCCCTGCTACCTTGGGAGCTGCGGGAGACTTAGACAGGGGACAGACGGGATAAACGAGTTGGGCCCTGAAGGATGAGTAGGAGTCGACCAGCTGCGGCGAGGAGGAAAGTAAAGGACGGCCCACGTGAAGGGGCAGCCGACCCTACGGTTCTGGCGTCCCACAGTGTCCTGTCATCGCCTCCTCGTCACAGAGAAATGACTTCAGCCGCCGTGATGCTGAGCATTAAAGGCAGGCCACCGTGAAGGCCGACTCACCGTGAAGAAGTCACAGAGCGTCACGTGGGGGAAGACCTCGTGGGCTCTGTTCTTCGCGCACTGGCGCCTGCTCTCTCTCCAGAACTCCTGAAGCCGCTCCAGCAGGGCGCCCGTGGGGCAGAGGAAAAGGGCGTACTCCTGGGGGATGGGGTCGTCCAGGGAGGGGTCGTCGCGATGGCAGTGCAGCCTGCAACAGAGAACGGGCGCCTTCACCGGGTGTCACGGCAGCGCTACACGTCACGGGGCGTGCTGGGCGCGTAACGCGTGCGCAGCACCCATGTCCAGTCAGTGACGTCCTCCGGCCGTCCTCGGCCGGGACGCGCCCAGCAGCGGGGCCGCGCGTGCCGCCGGCCCGGCCAGCGCCCAGCCTGCTCCCAGACCCACGGGAGTCTGATTCCAGAGCCGAGGACGGGGAAAAGGAAAGAAAGTTTGCGGGAAGACTCGAAACCCACTCTTCCGATGCTTCTGAGGGCCAAGCCTCTCCTTGGTGTTGAATAATTTTGTGGGGAAACCCACGTTTATTTACCGTTGAACTTCAAATTGGATGTTAAAATCAAAACCACGAAAAACCAGACAAAGTTTAGGTGGTTACTATATTGTCTTTCTATTCAGTAAGTTATTATTATTATTATTTTTTGAGACAGAGTCTCGCTCTGTTGCCCGGGCTAGAGTGCTGTGGGGTCAGCCTCGCTCACGGCTCCTGAGCTCAGGCAATCCTCCCGCCTCAGCCTCCAGAGTAGCTGGGACTACAGGCGTGCGCCACCACGCTCAGCTAATTTTTCTATTTTTTGTAGAGACGGGGTCTTGCTCTTGCTCAGGCTGGTCTCGAACTCCTGACCTTAAGTGATCCTCCTGCCTCGACCTCCCAAAGTGCTAAGATTATAAGCTAGAGCCACCATGTCCAGTCAGTAAGTTATTATAAATTCAAGGAAAAGGGCTGCACCACCCAGCATAGGAGTCCGTTTTCACAAATAATAAAAACAGATATGTGGACAACCACGAGACACCATTTTACTCATCTGTCAAATTAACAAAGATATTTTTAGGGATAAACATTATGCTCAATGGTATCAAAGGTGCAGCAGTGACTCGAGGATAAGTCTGTACAACTTTTCTATTAATATGAAGCAATTTGCAGATACAGATCAAGAGCCTTGACATACCCACACTCTGTCAAAATTCTACATCCAGAAATCTGTCCCCAGGAAAGAGCAAAAATACTGCATGGTCAAAACTTCACCTATGAAATATTTACCGTGGGGTTATTTACAAAAGGGAAAATGAAACACGTCCTCACGGCAGTGGGCTTGGTTTTTAATTCAAAACTGGCGAATGGGCCGGGTGCGGTGGCTCACGCCCGTGATCCCAGCACTTTGGGAGGCCTAGGTGGGAGGATCGCTGGAGCCCAGGAGTTTGAGACCAGCCTGGGCAACATAGTGAGATCCCTGTCTCTACAAAAAATTTTTAAAAATTAGCTAGGTGTGGTGTCCGGGAGGTGGAGGCTGCAGTGAGCTATGTTCATGCCACTGCCCTCCAGCCTGGGGGGCAGAGCAAAATTCTGTGTCTATTAAAAAAAAAGAAAGAGCAGCGACTGGCTTTAGAGTTAGACGAGCCCCGAGTGTTCTGGGAACTCCCCTTGTCCTGTGAAGTGGTTGCATGTTTGCCCCGGGCCTAGGGTTTCTGGAGGAGCAGGGGCTCCCACTGGGAGTCATCGGGTGTGCGTCCTGCCTTGGGGAGGCCGCTCCGGCCCGTGGGCCTGGGCCTGTCTCATCCTCACCGTGGCTGCCCCAGAGCACGGCTGAGCACCTCCTACCCGGTACCCCTTCCCCTTTCTACATGTCTCCTTAGGGGCTTTGTGCTTCCCCGGGGAATGTGCAGAATGCCCGGGGAATGTCCCCACTGGGGACAGAAAGGTGGCATCATGGCACATGCAGGCCAACAGGGATTTGGAGAATAGGGGGTCCTCCCCTCGATCCCCAGAGCAGAAAACTGTGGCCCGAGGCGCCTGGCGGCTCACAGAGGCACCCCGCTGGCGAGAGGCAGGCTGAGAACCGGGGTGGGCTCTCATGCGACCCAGCCGCCTGCACCCCGAGGGGACAGTCGCGGCCACCGGGTGACTCTTCCCGTCGCACGGCAGCCTCTGTGTTGTATCAGCAAACGCTCCTCCCTGGCGAGTCAGGGAAATCACACGCGCCTTTTCCTTCTGCGGCGGTGAGATCCGGAGTCAATGAGATGTGTGAGTGAGAAGAGCTTTGTTCCAAGTTCTCTCTCTATTTTGAACGAGGGCGGGTAGGCGCGGAGTCACTTTGTTTTGCTTTCACGGCGCCCAGTCCCCCGTCCTACCCGGAGGGTGCCGGGCACTTCCCGGTGTCTGCCCGCAGGGAGGGGGTCCCGGGCGCAGGCAGCTCCGTCCAGACCCCCGGGCCCGAGAACCAGCCGCACTCACCAGTCGGCCGCCTCCTCCGCCGTCTTCCTGCCCGTGGCCGCCAGCGCCTTCAGCCTGCAGGGAACAGACACAGGGCACTCAGAGTCATGCCCCGCTGTCCCGGAGCAGCGGGGTGGCGCCCCGCACCCACCAGACCTGCGGGGCCTGCCCCACAGCGAGGGCCTGGCTGCCGGGCTCCCCGGCTGGGAGCTCGTCCACCCCCTCCCTGGCTGTCCACCCCTGCAGGGTCCAAGCGCTCAGGGCCTGACTCCCGCCCACCCCTGCCACGCGTCCCCACCCACCCCACACTGCACGAGAGTGGAGCAGGCCCACCTGTGGGTGCTGGCGTGGGCCGTGAGCCGTCATGCCCCTGCTGGGACCCGAGCTTCCTTCCCCGACATCCCTCAGCGAAACGGCACCGATCCTTCCACCCCGCTCTCAGACGTGCCCCCTCCCCCGGGAAACGCCCCTCCTCAGGCCGCCTGGTCTGCTGCCCTCTCCCGGGCTCCCCGCCGCACGGGCACCGTCATGGTTCCCACAGTCACTTGGCCCGAGTGTCTCCCCTGCTAGACCTCGAGGTCCCCGAGCGCTGGGTGGGGTCTCGTTCGTCATGGCAGCCGGGGCGTGTGTATGTCCAGCTGCATTTAGCTGAACCGGACACACGGAGCACAGCTAAGGTCATTTATCAGTGACTCGGGCTGGAAACGGCCGGCGTCCGCGAGGAACCCCGGAAGGTTCTGCCAACCCCGCTAATTTGGCCAGCACCCGTGGGGCTGGGCTGCGGCTCCCTGGAGAGGTTTTGACCGGGTGGCCTCGGCACGGAGCCTGACTCGGGGGAGCTCCGGCGCGAGTGAGACGTGGACAACACATTCCTCTACCCCAGCGCGTGCTTGCTGTTCGAGCTGGAGGCAGTGTTGGGCGTGAGCCTCCGTAGGGGGCATGGCGGGGACTCCTTCAGAGGCACCAGGGTCCCCGAGGCCAGCTGCCCTCTCCGGGCCCGGTGTCCCGTCTACACCTGGGAGTGAGTCAGAGAGGAGGGGTCCAGGCACGAGCCACCCTGGTGGCCGCCCAGCAGCCATGTCACTTAGCCGCCTGTCTAACAGACGCCCGGGCTGTGAAGACAAAGCCCTGGCTGGGGAGGAGAGGAAGGGGTCCGGCCGCAGCGTGACTGCACCCGGTTTGGCGGAGGATTGTCACGGCGTGGAGGGCAAGGTCAGCTTCCTCCCAAACCCGAGGCTGCTCAAAGCGTGTTTATGATATATTTTTCCATGCGAATAAGCATCGGAAAAGAACCCCGTCTAAGAAAAGAGGGGGACTCCTCGGGTGGGCGGGCCGGGCCGACGGTTTCTGCGGCTTCTCAGCCACTTGCTTCCCTCTAGGACTGTCGGGAGGTTCTGCTTAAGGACGGGCGAGTGGCTGTCCCTGTTCAGCGCAGGGACACGGTCCCGCTGACGGTCCCCCGACAGGTCTCCGCGCTACTCAGTGGGCCTCGGGGTCTTTCATGTTAGAGGTTGAAACACCGTGAAATGTCACCGTCAGGGTCCCTGAGCTGCACACAGAGAAGTCACAGCCAGGCCCCGGGTGGAGGGGCGGCTCTGGGGACACATGGCTTCTAATTTCCTCAAGCATCAAGGCCCCCCTGGGCCAGCAGCGCTCGTCTTCTGAAGGTCAAGACCCTCTCCCGTTTAGGAAAAGCAGAGGAGGCCTTCCGCTGAGCCCGAGCCTGGGCCCGGGAGGAGCAGGAAGCGGCCCGAGCGCCTGGGCGCCGTGGCGGGCGCGGGGTCGGGCAGGGCCGGGCGGTACTCACGCGGTGTGGGCCGGGAAGCCCATGGCCAGGAGGGGGTCCAGCAGCGAGGGCGTGCTGCGGCCCCGCAGCTTGTTGGAGACCCTGGCGTAGAGCTGGGTCGTCTCCCCCGCTGCCATCGCTTCCTGCCGGGCCGGAGCTCGCCTGTCTGCGCTGCGGCGGGAGATAACACCGCCGCCGGGAGAGCGGAGGGGCTGAGGCTGCGAGGAGAAACCTCAACCCCTTTTTGATCTTTCTGACAAAAGCTGATATCCTGTTTGCACGGGGTGTCGGTTTTCAGAATGCTCTTTGTGGGGTGCGGGGTGCATTGCCCACCAACCCTGCTGCCACGCCGGGGGCTGGGTCCCCCCAAAAGGCCCAGCCGAGCCCCTCCGTGGGACCAGCGTCTACACAGACCGGGGTGGCAATTGGGAGCAGGGGTGCCTGAAAGCGTGGAGAGGAGGGAGGAAGTGGGAGCAGAGGCCGGGGGCTCTCTGCTGGGTCTGCTGGGCCCCCCACTGGCTCCCTACTCCAGCGACCCCGAATGTGGGTTTCCTTGTCTGCAAAGGAGACGTGCGCTACGCTGTCTCTATTGCCCCTGCTTGCCTTAAAACTTCCTGGTTCTTTGAGCTATTTGTTGATTTATTTTTAGATTTTAAAACCTTCTAAAGTTTAACATGCACACAGCAAAGTTGTCGAATCGTAAGTGTACAGCTCGAAAAATTTCCATAAAGTGAGCGTACCCCTCACTGCCCCAGGGACAGCAATGAAACAGTGATCTGAAGCCTCCTCCACCCAATGGGGACATTTGACAATGTCTGGAGTCGTTTTGGGGGTCCCACAGCTGGGGAGGGGCATCGTGCCAGTGGCACCTAGTGGATACAATGCCACAGGCCACAGGACAGCAGCATCCACCACAAAGAACCATCCGGCCCCAGTACTGCCATGGTGGAGGAAGCCTGTTCTAGAACATTCTCAGAACCTCAGAAGCACCCCTGCCCTGGGCCCAGCCTCCTCTAGTCGTCTCCTGCCTCCCTGCTGCCCTCACTGGCACGTGAGCCGTGCCTGTTTTTGAGCCTCCTACAAATAGAACCATATGGCACATGCTCTATCATGTCTAGTTTCTTTTGCCCCGAATTATGTTTGTGTAGCTCTTGCTAGTTCACTGTCGTTGCTGCGTAGCATTCTATCAGACAAACATACAGTCCGTTTCTCTGTTGATGTGCACTGGGTAGGTTTTTGATTGTTTTGCTGTTATGAATTATGCTGCCGAGGACAGACATGGTTGTATGTGTCTTTTAGTGTCCTGTGTGTGCATTTCTGTTACGTATGCTCCTAGGAGAGGGACTGTTGGGTCACAGGGCATGTGCACGCTTAGAGACCACCAGGCAGCTTTACAGAGCACGTGTACCTACCTGCCCCCTCGCCAGCAGAGGGTGGGAGTTCTGGCTGCTCTACATCCTTGTCCACACTTAATATTATCAGTCCCTCTAATTTTAGCCTTTCTGGGGGGTGTGGTCTCTCACTGTGGTTTTAATTTGCATTTCCCTGCAGGGCAAGGATATGGCACCATTGCACAGGCTTATTGGCTACTTGAATGTCTTCTCTGGGGAAGTGCCTGTTCAGATTTTCTGCTCTTTTTTTTTTTTTCATTGGGTTGTTTGCTTTTTCTTATCAATTTGTGGGAACTCTGGTTTGAGTTTTCTGCATCCTGTTCAAGAAATTGTTGCTAATCCAACAGTGATGAAGATAGTCCCCTGTGTTTTGTTCTAGAAGTTTTTTTTTTTTTTTTTTTTTTAACTTTTACTGTTTGTATTTAGCTCTGTGATCCATTTGAATTAATTTTGTGCATGGTGTGAGGTAGGGGTAAAGTTTCATTTACTTTCCCATTGAAAAGGCCATCCTTTGCCCGGTGAATTGCAGTAGAACATTTATTGTAGGTCAGGTGACTGTATATGTATTAATCTTTTCCTGACTCTATTATGTTCTCTTATTTGATTTGCCCATTTTTGTGCCCATTCTTCACTGTTATAACTACTGTGTTAAGTCTATTATTTTGTCTTTCTCAAGATTGCCTTGCTCTTCTAGGCCCTTTGCTTTTTCATATAAATCTAAAAATCAGAGGGTTAGAGGGAAGGAGGGGAGGGACAAAAACCCTACCTAACAAGTACCATGAGCACTATTTGGGTGATGGGCACCCCTTCTAGCCCTTGACTCAAACATTACAAAAGCGATCCAGGTAACCAAAAACATTTGTACCCTGTAATATTTTGAAGTGAAAAAGAAAAATCAGGTTGCCCCAGTGTGCGGCTCAGAGAGTGCAGAAATATCACACGTACGGTCAATTGCTTTTCAGCAAAGTTGCCAATGTAATTCAACAGGGGAAAGAATGATCCTTTTAATAAATGGTGCTGGAAAACTTCAAGTCCACATAGAAAAAAAATGAGCCTCAACTCTCCACCTCACATTATACATAAAAATTAACTCAAAACTGCCAAACTTCTTAAAACACCTAGGAGAAAAATCTTTGCTGCATTGGAGTTTGCAAAGATTTCTTAGGACATAAAATGCATGAATCATAAAAGAAAAATATTGGACTTGTTCAAAATTGAAAATTTCTGTTCTTTAAAAGACACAGTAAAGAAAATAGAAGGCAAGCCACAGACCGCAATAAAATATCACCACACTTACACCCGACAAAGGACCTGTGTCTAGAAACCCAGAGTATTTTATAAATCCTTATAATCAATAAATAGGAAGACAAATATCTAGGTTAAGAATGGGCAAAATATCTAAATGGATACTTGGCAAACGAAGATACACCAATGGACGTGAAAAGATGCTCAACATCATTAGTCACCAGGGAAATGCAAATTAAAGCCACCATGTACTTCCACCACACCACTCGCTGTTAGGGCTAAAATTGAAAAGACTCAAATCACACCTGATGGGTACGATGCAAGCTATCTTGGTGATGGGCACGCTTGAACCTGACACAAGTGGACAAAAGCAATTCGTGTAATCAAAGTTTGTACCCCCCTAATACTCTGAAATAAATAAAATAAAATTGAAAAGATTGACAATACCACGTTTTGACAAGGCTGCGGAATAATTGGAACTCTCACACATTGTTGGCCGGAGTGTAGAGTCGTCCAACCACTTTGGAAAACATTTTGATAGTTTCTTATAAAGGTAAACATACATTCGCTATACGACCGATTCCACTTTTAGCTTTTTTACCAGAGAGAGATGAAAATGTATGGGCACATAAAGACTTTTCTATGGCAGCTTTATTCATGATAGTCTCGAACTGGAAACAATGCAAATGTCCATCAGCTAGCAAAGGATGTATGCACATTACGGTTCATTCGATCAGTGGAGCAGTACTCACCCACAAAAAAGGACACACTGTTGGTTCATGCAACAGCATGGACGAATTTGAAAAGAATATTATGCCGAGTGAAAGAAGCCAGATACAAAATCATACATAATATTATTTTTTAAGGAAACCCTAGAAAAGATAAAACTAATCTATAGTGACAGAAAGCAGATCAGTAGTTGCCTGAGGCTAGGGTGTGAGGGAGCTTTTAGGGGTTGTGGACACGGTCTCTATCCTGATTTGGTGGTGATCACATGGGTGTGTACGTATGTGTGTGTGTGTGTGTGTGTGTGTATGTATTGTTTCTTTTTTTTTTTTTTTTTTTGAGATAGGGTCTCTCATTCTGTCACCCAGGCTAGAGTGAAGTGGCATCATCATAGCTCACTGCAGCTTCAAACTCCTGGGCTCAAGCCATTCTCCTGCCTCACTCTCCTGATTAGCTGGGATTGCAGGCATGTGCCACTGTGCCTGGCTGATTTTTTTATTTTTTATTTTTTTTTTTTGTAGAGACAGGGTCTTGCTATTGCTCAGGCTGGTCTCCTGGCTCTAGAAAATCCTCCTGCCTTGGCTTCCCCAAATGCTAGGATTACAAGTGTGAGCCACTGTGCCTGGCCCTGGGTATATATATTTTTTCAAGACTACTGAGCTGAATACTTTGAGGACATTTTATAGTATATAAACTAAATCTCAATAAAATTGATTTTTTAGAAGAGAAAATGGAAGGAGTGCTAAGAACAACAAAAATAGTATATTAATTCCTACAATAAAAGAAGAAAACCTGCTGGGATTTTATTTGGGGTTATGTTAAATCTGTAGATCAGTTTGGGGAGAATTGATATTTTAACAATATTAAATCTTCCATTCCACAAATATGGTACGTCTCTCTAATTTATCTTAGTAATGTTTTCTTGCTTTCAGTGTCTTCACTTATGTTTTGATGCTATCGTAAGTGATATTTTTACTCAATTTCCATTTCTAATGGTTTCCAGTGCGTAGAATACAACTGATTTTTATAAATTGACCTCATATCCAATGATCTAGATGAGTTCACTTAGTTCTAAAATTTTGTAGATTCTTTGGATTTTGTAAAGAATTTTGTACACAATTCTTTTATTCATTTTATCACACTTCTTATCACAATTCTTTTATCACATTCTTTTATTCATTATTTAAATAATGACAGTTTTCCTTTTCCTTTCTAATTTTTATAAACTTTACTTCTTCTTCTTGCAATATTATTCCAGCAAAGACAAAAGTAGATTTTTTGGTAGGTATTTGTATCAAAGTTTTCCAGAGAAACAGAATCAATAGCAGAGACATATATGCGTGTGTGTATATATCCTTGTGCACATATATTATCTATATATTTATATACTAGGTGTACATATATATGTGCACACACCTACACACTAGATTATGTATTTATTTCTTCATCTATTATAAGAAATTGGCTCATGTGATTACAGAGGCTGTCAAGGCCCAAGATGTGCCGTTGGCAAGTGGGCAAGTTGGAGCCAGGAGATCTGGTGGTGGGTTCCAGCCCCAAGGCAAGCAGGTTCAAGACTCATATTATTTTTCTTCTTTATGCAATGAATTATGTAAATTATACTAACTGGCTCTGGATGTTAAATCAACCGTGTTTTCCTGAGATAAGCCCCTTGGTCATAATAGGTTATTCTATTTATATATTGCTGGGTTCAGAACTTTGTTTTGAGCTTTTGCACAAATTTTTGTGAATTAGGTTGGCCTATTATTTTCCCTTTTTTGGGGGGTGATGTCTTTC